GGCTTTGGAGTTGGAAGCTGCCCGCAAGGCTTCTGAGATGGAGGCCGAAAGGTCTAAACAGGGGGAAGCTGCCCGAAAGGCTTTTGTCTCTAGGAAAGCCGGAAAGGAGATGGAGTTGAAAGCTACCCCAGAGACCAAGCGGGCCAAGCTGGCAAAGGCAGGTGCACCTGACGCTGCACACAGTGCAGCCGCAAAGCTGGCTGCGCTGGACCTGGAGCGCCAGAGACTCATTGCATGGCTCGAGGAACAGCAGCAGGCTGGTGTCACCGCTCCACTTGCCAAATCTGCGAAGTCTTGCACTGTCCTCAGTTTGAAGATTCCTGAGGTAGCTGTCGAGGTGTTCTCTGATTATTGTTGTAAGCTAGATTCTGCTAGATGTTCTCAGGGATGGATGAGCTGGAAACTCAACACATGGATTCATCTGGCTTCAGTCCTGTTCCTGCCGTGTCTTGTCCGGAGTTGATTGGTAAATGGTGACCAAACATCTACAGAATCTACAGCATGCATATATGATACATTGTCCCTTCTGAGGAAATGAAAGCTCCTGAAGCCTGCCGCGGTCTTTTGTCTTTGGCTCCACCTTGTCCGCCCCCGCGAAGGCGAAAGGGAGGCGATGAGAAAGGTGAGGAAGCTGTTGAAGGTGATGAGGCTGCGTCAGACACCAGCCAGGAGGTGGAAGAGGTCGAGGAAGAGAACAATGAGGCGCCAGAGAAAGCACGGAGGAAGAGAGAAAGGGTACCAAAGGGAAAGGCAAAAGCTCGTCAGGCGACTGCAAAGACCAAAGCAGCTGCCAAGAAGGCAGCTGCAAAGAAGGCAGCTGCCAAGAAGGCAGCTGCAAAGAAGGAACCTTGCAAGATGGATGATGCAAAACGCCGACTGGCTTCATTGAGGAGCTCTGCTTACCACACGACAAGAAAGAAGGCTCTCCTCGATGGCAAGAGTGATGATGAAGCAAAGCAACTTGCTCGGCAGGCATGGGTGCCTCTTAAGTTGTTCGATCTAGAATGATTCAACTGCAGCAATGTGTCAGGCTTGGCATGCTGCGAAGTTGCCATAGAGCAGCTAGGTCACCGCCTCAAGATTTGAGCTAGCAGCTAGCATCGCATTCTATCTTGAATGTTGTCAGGTCTTTGGATGCCGGCGTATGATTCGATCTATTTTGACGGGCGTGGGATTGCAATTGATCAGCCATTGATCAGTTGCCTTGGGGAGCCGTGGGGTTCAATGCATCACAAGATGCGTGCTTTTCATTTGTAAGGGATTGCCTTTACAAGATCAGATAGTGGCTTCGGTAGCTAATTCGGGAGTTAGCAAAGTGGTGATTCGAGTGGAAGATGAAAAGGTTGTCATCGTTTGCACTTAAACTCACGTCCTGATCTTCTTGCAGCATAGCAAGGTATGGAGTTGAGAGCTTCTTGGTTTGATGTTGTGACAGGTACTTCAGGTGTCTGCAGTGAGTGCTCCCCTCTTGCATGTTCAAACATATGGTGTTTCTTCTTCAATCACTGACCACTAGCTTCTGTTGATGCCATACGCATGTGCATTTGAGATTGAACTGATCTGCTTCGCTGCTACCTTCAACTAGGGCGAACTAGAACGGATGTGGGAGGGCAAGGGTGCGGAAAGCCAAGTGGACAAAGAGGACTGTTCATATGCATATCGCGGTTTAGTTTGGCATTTGGGAAAGTTCCTGAAAGCTCTAAAGCCCCCAACTGTGGGACCCTGCAACTGACCAGGACAGTGCATTGTCAACCAACCGGGGCCATTCTTTTGGAGCGGGAGCCTAATGATCTTTTTTGGAAAGGTTCTCTTGCGTGGCCTTCTTCCAGCTTCAGGAGAGCGGCAACGCTTGGCAGTTGGTGTTCCGAGCTCTAGGAGTCCAGGCTCAGTCAACATGCTTTTGCACTGCCAGTGTGTAGACTCTCGCATGAGGTGAAAGAGGAAACGCTGTTGAACCTCCAAAAGGTGTGGGCAATGAATATGAGTGCTTCTTGAGTTTGTTGGATTTTGGAGAATAGATCGAGCAAGCTTCTCAGGATCGTGAACTAGTTCACGTGTTTCAGTGCTTAGTGGCTTTGATTCCCCAGCAGGTGAGTGCTGCTAGGTTGCTTGTTCACAGATCCTCTGCTCATGCCCATGCCAGGACAGATTGGCTTTGGGCAACCGACTGGTTGCAGTGCCTGCGAAAGCAATGCCGAGCAGGCCAAAGAGAAAGGATGGCCATTCATGTGGAAGCTCTTGCCTTTTGCGCCTTGCTTCAGGCGAGCTGGGTATGTGCCACCTACCGCAAAGGCAAAGGCAATAGTTCCTACTCAACGCGCACGCCCCAGCAACAATCCTATAGATTTTGAAAAGCCATGAGGGCACAGTGTTGGAAGTATAGGTGTGGATGGGCAAGCTCAAGATCATCCACAAAAACCAAAAGGCCAGTGTTGCACTTTTGGTCTTGCGGGCTACAGATTGAAACAACTCTTGTTTGGGCAGGACCTCCTCCATTGACATTTTTTTCAGCTGGTGCAGGCTTGTACCTTGCATCAGCGCACCAAACATT